CCCTTTCACCACTAACCTGGCCTTGAGCTTGTTCACAGAGCCATCTGGATTTAATTTAGTCTTGAAAACCCATTTGACTCCAATCACCTTTCTGTTAGTAGGCTTCTCCACTAGCTCTCATCTCTTGTTCTTCTCTATCATTCTCAGCTCCTCCTTCATTGCCTCTATCCACTTTTGATCTCTTTGAGCTTCTTTAAACCTTGCAGGCTCCAACACAGCTACGCTGTTTCTTTCATACACATCTGTCAGTAGTCTAGTCCCTCTCACTGGTGCATCATCAACTAGTTCATCAGGATCCAGAGAGACTTCTTATTGCTTCACCTCTGCTTCTTCTGTCCAGTCCTACTCCTCATCCTCCAAAAATTGAACGTCTCTACTAATCACCATCTTCTTTGTGTGAGGTTGATAGATCTTGTAGGCTTTGGACACCATGCTATAGCCTACAAAGATGCCTGGTTCTGCCTTCTCACTCAACTTGTCTCTCTTCACCTGTGGAACATGAAAAAAACACAAAGAACCGAACACCTTCAAATTTGTCAGTTTTGGTTTAGTTTCAAACCAAGCTTCATAGGGTGTCTTCTTCTCCAAGACCCTTGTAGGTAGTCTATTCAATAGAAAGACTGTTGTGTTTGCTGCTTCAGCCCAAAACTCATTTGGCAAAGTCTTTTCATGCAACAAGCATCTTGTCATCTCTATAATACATATGCTCTTCCTTTCATTAACTCCATTTTGTTGTGGAGAATATGGAGCAGTGGGCTGATGTTCTATCCCAGCTTCTTCACAAAAGGAATTAAACCTTTGTGATGTATATTTAGTCCCATTGTCGATCCTCACCACCTGAATCTTACAGCCACTTTGATTCTCAACCCATCTTTTAAACTTTAGAAACACTCCAGCTACTTCATATTTCTACTTTATGAAATATATCCAATACATCCGAGTGTAATCATCAATAAAGATAATGAAATACCTGCTACCATTAAGTGAGAGAGTTGGTTGAGGTCCACACAAATTAGTGTGGATGAGCTATAGCTTCTCAGTTGCTTTCCAAACTGACTTCTTGAATGGCAATCTTGTTTGCTTCCCTGTCAGACAAGCTCTGCAGCTTGTTTTCAGCTCCTCCAGAACTGGTACTCCCATTGCCATCTCATTTTTCTGGATATACTGCAATCCCTTCTAATGAAAATGCCCCAATCTTTTGTGCCATAACTCAATGTTATTCACTAGACACTTGAAAGCTATTTGCTCCTTCTCGAATGGATCTAATGAAAAGCTCTTGTGCTGCATCATTATTTCGAACAACTCATTCCCACTGGAATCAGAAATGAGGCACTTCCCGTCTTCAAACAACACTTTAAATCCCTTATCTACCAGTTGACCAATACTTAACAGGTTTTGATCAATCTCAGGAACAAACAACACTTCACCAATCAACTTGGTTCCAGTACAGCTCTCTATTGACACTGTGCCTTCCCCTTTCACTTATAGATACTCACCATTTCTTATCTTCACCCTTGAATGACTTGTCAAGGTCCTTGAACAACTCTTTGTCACTTGTCATATGATTGGTACACCCACTATCAGCCAACCAACCATCACATTGAGTGGCTGATGGGAAACATGTAGCCACAAAGAGTTGATCTTCTTCTTGCTGTACTGCAGCATGTGTTCCTCCTTGTTGTTGAGTTTTGGTACCTTTACAAAACCATTCAATGTGTCATAATAAATTACACCCTCTACACTTCACATCTGGCCTTCTCCAACATCTGAAGTGTGGATGGTTGTGCTTCCCGCAGTGCTTGCATGCACTACTAACATCCTTTGCAGCAAATTCTGAGCTACTGCTGCCACTCGCCTTTTTCCCTTTCCACTTCTTCTCTCTTCCACCTTCTCCTTGCTGCATTCTAGCTTTCAGTGCCCCTCAATGCTTCCTTCTTGCCTCATCAACCTTCTCTGCTCATGTGCTTGCAAAGCACTAACAACTTCTATCACTTTGATTTTGGAAAGGTCTTTAGTATTCTCTAAAGAGGCAATGGTTGCTTCATATCTCTCAGGTAATGAAACCAGAATCTTCTGAACCAATCTATTGTCAGATAGATCAGTTCCTAATGTTCTTGCCTTGTTAGCAATCTCGATCAACTTGTCTGAATACTCTTTGATGGACTCAGAATCCTTCATCTGCATTCTCTCGAACTCCCTCACCAAGTTCAACACCTTCATGCCTTTAATCCTTTCATCGCCTTCATACTCACTTTTGAGGAACTCCTAGATCTCCTTTGCTGACTTCAAAGCCATAATTCTATTGAATATGATGGGAGACACAGCGGCATATAGGCAAGCTCGAGCCTTTGCCTTCCTGGTGACCCTCTCCTTGTGAGTCTTGATCTGATGCATTGTTGGATTATTAGAAAGTGGAGAAATTTCATAATCTTGCTCAATTGCTTCCCAATAATCACAACCGTCCATGTAGGCTTGTATTCTTATTGCCCATGCTTGATAGTTTTAACCATCAATACAGGTGGAGCCAGTGAAGAAAGATTGTTTGATCCTAACTCCATTGGACAAAACTCTCACAGGTGTATCACTTAGTTTCTCTCGGGAATATTTCACTAATCCTCACTCACAGATCCCTTAAGAATTTAAGGCTTTGATACCACTGTAGTTCTTATTATTGAGAGAGAAATGAGAAAGTGGGGAAATGTATGTTTCATTCAATGATGCTACTACATATTTATACAAAGTCTAAGTCTAAAAACGGACTCAACTAATTCCACATAAAATGCAACTACTCCACTAGCCAGAAGAATAGAAACCTACCTAGTTGACTTGACTATAACAAAAAATAACCCTAACAACTTCCTAGAAACTAGGACTTGGACTAGACAAATTAAAAACTATAAGAATCAAACTTGCCATTTGAGTTAAATTACATTTGAGTTAACTTACAGAACGATAGCAAATATGTCTTAAAAAGGATAAATGGCCTAGTACAAAGGTAGCTTCGAAATCAACTAAATTCTTTTGGGTTGGATCATGCAAACTGTGTCATGTCAAGCTGTGGGACGAAATGAATGTGGAGACCGTAGATTTGACCTAGAACAAGACACTGAGACCGTGCATTCATGTTCCTTCTTTTGTTGTAAAATTTCATGTGTGTGTTGATGGCTGATTGTGCTTTTGTGTTGACTGTATTAGTAGTTAGGTGTTTTGATGTGTCTATATGAATGTCATTTGATTTCAAATTAGTACTTGTACTTTCATATCTTTCCTCAATTTGAGCATTAGGGCTTTCCTCAGTACGTGGCTGCCCGATTCTTTCATCCGATCTTACTGTACTAATGCTTCTATTCATGCTTTAAGACTGATTTTGTGTCTTAATTGCCTTACTGTAGGGAGGTTGATTATTTGGATAAAGTGGTGGTCTAGAAATAGAGTATGTGCCATTATGAGCTTCTATTTGTTGAGTCTGCTCCATGTAAAAAATGTATTGTCTTGGATGCCTTATGTCTGAGGTGTTTCTATTGCTTTTATGTAGTTGATATTCCATCTTTATTGGATTGGTATACTCTTCTAGTTCTGAAAAATCAGTAACTTCCAAAGGATTTTGGTGGCTAGTGTGTAAAGTCTTTTGTATAAAAGGGAAGCAATTTTCATAAAAAAAAAATTAAATGATGTAGGCTCTTTTATTGTTGGTATCTAAACACCTATATCTTTTATGCATAGAACTGTAACCTATGAAAACACAAGGATATGTTTGTTTTGAAATTTTGTTTCTAGAATAATTCTTTAGGTATGTGAAGTATCTACATCCAAATATTTTTATTCCATCATACTTAGGTGTTCTTTGAAATAGTCTTTGATATGGAGTTTCATTGTTGAGTGGGATAGACATCCAGCTTATAAGAAATGTAGCCGTAAGAAAACTATCCACCCAATATTTTAAAGAAACATTTGATTGGAATTAATTGGTTTGGATGAGATGATGATGCTTCGTTTGTACAACTCCATTCTATCGAGGAGTGTGAGGACACGATAGTTGATGCACAATTCCACTTTGCTCTAGATGTAAATTCTCCTCCACCATTGCTTTGAAGGATTTACATAATCTAATTCGTGGTTCAAAA